AAAGTGATTCATAGACTTTATTTCATTTGATCCTCACAACTGAGCAAACTTTTTTCAGGAAAATATAACATTCTCTCAAAAGTCAAACAAAGCAACAGAACTACATAAATAACACGACTTGCTTACCTGATATCTATACAAGGATGCAATTGAGATACCACAGGATTCTGTTCACGTTGAAAAAGAAGTGGCCAGAAGATGTATATTTTAATGACATCACAGTAATCTCTAAGGACATGAAGTGGCTTACTACACCAGATTTTGCAGATGTCCAGTTCTTTGTTAAAAAAAAAATTAAATTAATATTGCTAGGCTTTTTGAGTAGAAAAAAACATAGGTAATAAGAACACAAAGTATAGATTAGAAAATGACAGGAAATCAGTCAAAGTGAAAATCTCTCTCCATCACTGTACATATATAAGAAGTATTAACTATTGCTCAAGATTTTTTGGCAAGTTATTTTAAAAATAACTTGAGATTTTAAATGCAAAATAATTATAGGAATAAATGTTTAAAGAAGTATACCACCACACACAAAGATAGATTTTATTAATTGTCTTATTATACCATCAGTGGAAAAAAAATAAAGGTTTAAGTGCTAAATTACTTACCTAGATTTGCCTTAACTTGTGAATATTTTCTAGGATATGCACCACCCTGAAAAAAGAAAATATGTTTTGTTGCTCTTTGGTAAAAACATGGTAGCATATTCAATTATACGTTAGCTGCACAAAATAACATATGTGCTATGCTTTAATCTATAAACTTCTGAGTTAGGCCACTTTCAATCTACCATTCACCAAGTTCTTTTTCAGCAGCTACCATACTCCCTTCTACAATTTTCAATTACTCACTTTTGGTCAAAAATACAACTATGACCTATCATAAATGAGTTAAAACTCAAATCCATTTCTGTCTCAATTCAGATTACATATATATCTTAATCTTTAATCTATCACATCACAGTCTTCTGAGAAGTAAAAATGTAATGAAATTAGCTATGGCCAACGAAGTACATTTCTTGTCCTATTTTTAAATTTTTTTATTCTGAACCAAAAAATAGAGATTTCCATGTATATAGAACAGAGAGGTAATTCTATTACAAAAACATTAAGTTCTATTTCATACATTTGCTATTCTATAGAATATAGGTAAAAAGTATAATATATAGCAAATTCCTCACATTACTTTGAAAACTGTCCTTGACTGTGCTTCCTTTTTAACTTCCTTCTCTTCTCTATGCATTAAAAAAAATTTCAATGACCATTTTTTTTTGCCTCACTATTGCTAGTCTCCTCTCCACACCACCCCCATGTCCCCAATTAAAAACCAAAAGGAAAAAAAAACCCTCATGATAAATCAGTAAAACCAAGCAAAATAAATCTACACAGTGGTCATAAAAATATGTCTTTCTGCACAAATGATTCACCATAGGTCCTCCAGAGATATGGTTGGTGATTACACTAATCAGAGTTCTTAAGTAGCTCATGCTACCCAGGATTCTCAGCAATCGTCTCTTTAATCATGTCTCAAGATACAATAACATTTCATTACATTCATACACCACAACATGTGCAGCCATTCCCCAATTACTAGATGCTCCATCAGATTCTAATTCTTTGCTTTTTTTTTTTTATTATTATTCAGGAAGTCCATTTTGCTTGCAGCTCTTTCTTTCCAAGTATTATCTTCTCTTTTACTCTCACTTGTCTTTCCTCTCTTTCAGAGCTAATCCACCTCCAGAATCTGTTTTTCTTATTTTACTCCCTCAGTACCTTATGAAGAAATTAAAGCTATAAAAAAAACAGACACTTATTTCTTCTCCCATCAGAATATTAGTACTATGTCATCAAACAACCCCCTCCCCGTGCATCTGCTCAAATAAATTTACTTTCCTTGGTTTCTTTGGACACAAGTTTATACTTCAAAGTTCCTACTCGGCTCTGGTTTTTCATCAGAAATGGTTGGAACCAAGTCTTCTATTCAAGAAGCCAGCTAGTGAGCTAAGAAGTAGTGAGCTACATTTTTAAATAGCTTTACTATAACCCAACCATGCTCATCCAATTACATACTGTCTATGAATAACAGCATTCACCAGAGTCGAGTAGTTCTAACAGAGATCCTATGTGGCACTCTCATTGCTTCTCACAGGGACTCAATTCACAACAAACTATTGGGATGCAGGTATGATTTGACATTGTTTCAAGTGTCACCTTTATTACTGTACCCACAACATTTTTCACTACCAGTGTATACCTATTACGTCAAAACAAGAACTAAGAAAAATGTCTTACTATGATTTTTTGAGCTCAGGGCTAAGACTGTAGTTTTTCTGAACAAGAAGAACCACCCTCAACCACTATTATCAAACACTGAATGGCTTTGGAAATTAATTTTTGCTGCAGACTTGGTAATGCTGCTTAATGAATTCAACCCAAAATTTCACGGTAAAAGAGTGCTTATATACAAAACTTAAAATCATGTCAATTTATTAACAATGTTGTTTAAATTATAAGTAATGTTAAGTTGCTTCATACACTTCCCATGCTGTCAAAAATTAAATAAGAGACAAGATCTCCATTCTCATACAAATTTGCAGTGAATATATTTCTTGAACTCAAACTACAGTTTCAGCAGCATTTTTTGAGGGAACTTGATACGAGTACAAAAGAAATTCCTGTCCATTTAAATATGCAACTGAAGAACTTTCACCAATCTTCAATTGTAAGTGATTAATCTGCACTGTAATGACTCGCTAAAAGGCAAGTATAAAGAATCTAACAGAATTACATAAATGTCTTCCAAGAGACAAATATGTTAAATATTATACACTCATAGGCTGATATATTTAGCAGTACCAATCTGTGTGGAAAGACATTTTTAAAGATGAAATACATAAAATACCATTACAGATCAGCATTAACAAATAAACATTTGCATTTGATTCTGATGATAGGTAATAATAATTTTGAATCCCAATTAGGTGAAATGTCATCTTCCCCAGAAAAGAATTCCACTCTTCTCATTAGTTGATCTGTATTATAAAACAAACTGTACACATATTATTATTATATTTTGAATTTCATCCATTAAAATTTTTTGTAAATTTGTTTTCTCATTATATATGTACCTATAGAATACTTTTAATTTTGCCTACTGGCCTGCAAAGCCAGAAATATTTACTCTCTGGTCCTTTATAGAAAAAGTTTGCCAACTTCTGATCTAGTCCATTGAAGTTCCATTTTTTTCCCCTGTAGGATTATGCTGAGTTTTGCAAGCTAAGATATTCGTGGTTGTAAGTTTGATTTTTGGGCATCTCTAGATCAACAATAATTTTTTAATATTAGTTTTATATTAGCTTCTTTGGGTTACTTATCACTCCAGCTTTAGTTCCTAAATTAGGCCTCTGTGCCAGGACCAGGGTTCTTTCCTGCCACACTTTTGGGTAGGCTCGCTGATCTTTCTTGGTCTTATCCTTGTTTCCTTGGGTTACTGTGCTGATGTCTACTTTCCAAGACTAGGACCATCCCCCTTGACCCCAGATCTTTGGGGTTCAGACACTGGATCTTCAGCACCCCCTACTGCTCCTCAGGACAGAATATTACCAATCCTGGAACCCACCTTGGGACTTACTTGGGGCGACCCCACTGCTGTCCCTGCTTCCAGACCAAGAGTCATGCCAAGCTACGTGTCTGTGGCCAGGCTCTGGTTATTCCGGGAAGCTATTAGCTTGTTTGCCTTTTTTTGGTTTTGCTGGTGTCCCCTGTTCCTATTGCCTAGGGGCTTCTGGCTAAATTTCTGTGCAGTTCTGGGATGGAAGAACCACTGTAGTTTCTCATTGGATTTTTCTTATTATTTTGGGGTCTGATGTAAATTTTAGGTTTTCATTCGAGAAGGTCAAGCATCTATCTTAGCTTAAATTCCATTTCATTGTATTTTTTTTTTAACAAAGATCTATTTTATAGTCATTGCTCCTCTACAAAATCCTACTCTGATGTTTCACTGTGGCATAGAAGTAGTTCAGGATTTTCAAAGGTAAGGCTAACACAGCACAAACTCTGGCTTCCTACCAACCAAAAGACATCCATAGTCTGAGATTTAGCCTAATTTTGGAACCTTAATATCAGGTTTTTAGCTAAAAAGTCACCTTTCAGAGATCATCCAAGATAAATCACAAAGCTGCAACATGAACCAGAGAATAACGTACCCATCCACAAAGAGAAAAAACAAACAAACACAAATCTTGTCTAAATTCCATACTAAGAAGTGTTAAATAAGAACCTCTGGGTGTTCTTATGCTTCTGCAATAGTACTATGAATCCACCAGGAGCAGAATGCAAGTACACAAGAGGAAATCATTGGAATTACTGCCTCAGTACAGCTATCAATGAATATTATGAATAAAATTCAAGTACCAATCAATCAATAAGAATTTATTAAGGGCTTACAATGTGGCAAGGTTGGCACTGAAAATACAAAGATAAAAATGCCACAGTCCCCCACATCAAGTAATGTACAATTCTATCAAGGGAGATAACACACATATGTAAGTATACAGAAAATAAAATACGTGGGGGACAGGCCCCACTAACAGTTGGGAGGATCAGGATGTAGTACATGTCACTTGTCCATTCTTCCTCTCACTTTTTTCTCCTATTGGGAATCTTCTTACTTCTAACATTTAATCTCTTCTAATCAGAGAAGACAAATGATTTTAATAACTGGCATTTATAAGGAAAAATTTGATTTCTTATAATGATTTGCCATATGAACATAATTTCTCTTTTATATAAAGTTTCTTTTAATTTCTACCCTCAACATACACCTTTGCCAATAATGAGGTATGAGAGATGTGACGAAAATGTTTGTTTCCATAAAATTGAAACAACCACTAGAAAAGTAACTAAGTAAAACTGGATACAGCCGGTCTTATCTTCTTTTGCTGTTAGAAGTCAGTAAGTAGGACAAAGGTTAGGCTTTACTTGGAGCATGCATGCTTAATAGGTTCATGAATACTAACTTATCCACCTCCAGGCGGGGCTGAGATGCCATTTTCTGAACACGCAATGTATGTAGAAGGAGGAAAAACATGTCAAGGGGATGATGTGTAATAGGTGTACAGGAAAGTTATACACTCCAGAGTCCTCAACCATTGAGGAAATAAAGGAGGGACTCTGCCAGGATTAGAGATAAACAGTGAACTCTTGCTTCAGTGTGTATGTCTATTCCATAGCACACCCGCTTTTGCAACTCGTAGTAAACTGGGCTTTTAACTTCATCCCTCCTGAGTCCAAATGAGTTATTTCTCACAGGTGGAGTAGAAAAATGCTGAAATTAGAATCAGGAAGACCTGGGTTCCAATCTCACCTTACATATTTAATAGCCTTGTGACCCTGGACAAGTTTAACTTTTCTCATCCTCAGTTTCCTTATCTATGAAATGGCAATAATAATAGTACCTACCTCAAAAATAATAGTACCTACCTTGTTGTGAGGATCAAATGAAATAATATAGGTAAAGCGCTTTGCAAACTTTAAAGGCCTATACAAATTCTACCTGTTATTATTACCATCATTCTCTTCACTTTTTAGTTCCCATCATCTCACATTCTTGGTTTTTTGGGCAGCTTCCTCCTCTCAGCTTTCTTTTCAACAGCAGAGATGACATTAAAAATCATTCATTTACTCATATTAGCTTGGAATATGAACTTTAAAATGCATTTGATTTTTTAAAAAATGCTCACCTGTTCACAGCAAAGTTTAGTAATGCGAACGTAGCTGCTGCCAATTAAATCTGCCTCAGAGATGGAATTCTCCATTGTGCATGATCCTAAAGGCCAGCAAAAACAAATACAAACTCCAAATAAGTAAACTGAATACAAATTCTTAAAGTGAATCTTATCTTTGTCACAATCAAATGATAGTGGAGACAACAACTGGCTCTTATAGAGTACCTGAGCTGAGTGGAAGGGCGTATAATGGAAAAAATGCTGGCTCTGGAGGCAGAAGACCCAAGCTCAATTCTCAGCTCTGGATATCCAGTTAAACAGAAATATGAAAAGTTGTAGAGCAGCCCAGATTTCCCATAAAAACTCCAGTTAGGATCAAAAGAGTACCAGACTATAATTACTACTAAGAGAAATGCAAATCAAAATAATCTTCATCCTAATATTCAGCAAATTGGCAAGGATGACAAAAGACAGGAACAGTCAATGTTGGAAGGATTGCAGAAAGTCAGAAACACTAAAGCATCATTGGTGGCATTGTGAATTGGTACAACTATTCTAGAAGGTTATTTGAAATTATTTGAAGAAAGTGATAAAAAAAGTTCATATGCTTTAATCCAGAGGCTTCACTACTAGGCATATACCCCAACAAAGCAAAAGACAGAAAGAAAGGCTCAATATATGTCAATTACAGGAATGTAATGGAATATTACTTTACTGGAAGAAAAGATGAAAGTGAAAATACAAAGAAGCAACTGGTACAATGAGAAGTAAGCAGAGCAAGGAAAACAACATATATAATGTCTACAACAACATAAATGGAAAGATTAACAATAATAAGACACCTGAAACTCAATAATGAGAAATTGTAAAGAACGAGTTTGGCCTATAAAAGAAATGAAAACTCCCCCTATTCTTTGTAGAAGTCCACAGGTGTGAAATATTGCATATAGGGTCAGCTTTTTTGTGTGTTAATCAATTTTACAGAACTTTTTTTTCTTCCTCTTTCTTTTTATCTTAAGTACTATTATAACAATGGCTCTCTGGAGGAGAGAGTGGGAGGAATACAGGAAGAAATCAAGGTGATATAAAAACAAAAGATGGCAATGGTAATATATTTTTAAAAGAGTAACAGATTAAGTAAAGATTAAGAAATTCAAAGAGCATTTGACTGCCCAATCCAAGAGTGTAGGAGGGGATTGGACCTGGCCCTGGAACAAAATCCCAAATTAAGATCTGAGGCTACACTAAGTAAACAGAAGACCCTAAACACTATGAAGAAATATGATCTCTGAAGAGAAGTTGAAGAGGTAAACTCAGAAGAGAGTTACACAGGTATAAGCAGAAACCTAAAAGTTTAAAAAAAAAAAAAAGCTAGGACTACAAAAATATAATTACGCAATAGATTAAAAAAAATGAAATAAGCACTCTGGAGACAAAAAATAGAAAGAGAACATGCTTAGAATTGAAGGTGGAAAACCCTATCAGGAAGGGGGCAATAAGAACTTGATGAATTCAGGAAACAAAAAGAAATATTAGAACAAAATCAAAAGGTTGAAAAAAAGGTAAGGTATCTTTTACCTAACATTTGTAATGTCAGTCAGTCAATAAGCATTTATTAAGTTTCGACTATGTGCCAAAAGACAGTCCTTGCCCACACTGAGCTCACAATCTAATGGGAGACAACAAGCAAACAAGTATGTACAGACAAGCTATATATAAGATAAATAGGAAATAATTAACAGAGAGAATGCACTAGAATCAAGAGAGATTGGGAAAGGCTACAATATAAGAAAATGTAAAGTATACCAACCTCTTTCTAAACTTATTCTATTTTTATTCTTACTCTCTTTCTAACCTTATTCTTATCACTCCCCTCAATGAACTCTACAATCAAACTGCCAACAAAGATTTATTAAGCACTTATTACGTGCCAGGAACCATGGTAAGCACTGGGGATACAAAAAAAGGCAAAAAATAAGCTTTGACCTTAAGAGCTGTACATTCTAATGAAAGAGATTAACACTGTAAATAACGAGGCACATACAAAATATTTACTGAACAGATGAAGTTAATCTGAAAGGGGAAGCCTTCAGCTTGGGAGCTGGGAGTGGAGAGGGGGAAAAGCCAGCTATACTGGCCTGCTGGCTATGTCTCACAATCAATATATGTCCTTTCTCCGGGGCTTTGTACAGGTTATCTCCCACAAGCGGATGAAATCTGCTCATCCTTTTGAATCCCTGATTTCCTCCTCAGTGCAAGTGCCACCTTCTTTAAAAGGCCTTAAGTGCTAGTACTTTCCTCATCCCCTCCTAAAGCTACCTCTTCTCTTTTTTTAACCTATTCTTTAAATGTAAAAAAGTATGTTGCTGTCCCCTATTAGAAGTTCTTTGAGGGCAAGGATTGTCTCACTCTCTGTGTATTTCCAGCACCTAGCATAGGCACCTTTAAAAAATGTTTACTACTTAACTGAGGTTTCTTCCACTCATGTCATACACCAATATTTCGGCATGCAGCTGACCCAAGATTCTGAAAAGCCATGCCAGTAAAGAGCTATCTCTATTAGATGCTACAAACCTGAAAAAGCAGAAAAGAACGGGCCTATTTATCTTCCAAAGTGTCAGCCTATCAAAGTTCTGAGTGGCTCACCATCAGGTTGCCAGGAAAGGTAACTACTTTTTTTTGGCTATTGCTTCTCTTAGTCATCCTACTAGTTAGAGAAGACACGATTATCTAGAATGATAAAATCACAGATCCTTTAAATAGTAGGGTATGGAGCTCGCAGAAGCTTTCTATGTCATCTACTGGTTTACCATGGATAAGAATCCACACATTGTTCTCTTATTAATCTGGACTTTTCTTTCCTTTAATTCAAAAAGTACAATATTTACTGATCACCTACTTACACACGGGTCACTGGGGGTTTTGTTTGTTTAGATTTGTGAATTAATGAATGTAGAGCACTTAACCTTGTGGAAACTTCCTTCACTGAAGAAAGGTAATTGGTTTGTAACTCAAAGTCTTAGAGAACTTGTATAACATTGAGAAATTAAAGGACTTGTTCATGCCTATATAGCTAGCGTGTTACAGAAGCAAGATTTGAACCCTCTCCATTAAGCTGTCTAGGGATAAAACTAAAGATGCTAAGCCCCAGGGGATAAAAAAAAAAACAAAACAAAACACCCCAACAGTTCCCACCCTCATCTGACTTCCCAGTTATGAACACTGACATGCTCTTAAAAGCACAAGTTCCTGATCACAAGTTAAATGAACAGGCCCTAGTTTGTATCCTTAGCCCCCTATCCCATTTTCATCACATCCATCAAATTTCGCACATCATACTTGCATATTATTATATACAACCAGCCAATCCTCCCACCTCAGCCTCTTTCTTAATCCCCACCTGGGGGAAGGGGAAAATCGTTCGCCATCAGCAGAGGAGGACTAGGAAGGAGAGAAGGGGAGTAAAGAGCCAGGATGGAAATGGACGCCTGTCTCGAAGGTTTTCTTTCCTGTCAGGCATTATTAGTCCGGCAGACAGCCTGGCCTGAGCACAACGGCCTCTCCCACAATAACAAGTGGCTGAGGAACATTTGCATTTGCACACACAAATGCGAGTGCACGGATGACGGGCATGATGATGGAAAACGCAGGTAGCAAGAACGGCACACAAAGACATACAGGAAGGGAAGGGGAAGGAGCACGGGGGAGAGACACACAGGGCACATACGTGCAGGAAGGAGGGGCACCTATGCACACACGAAGGGTGTGTGCAAAAACACACCAGTGAGACAACATTCGCTGCGGGAAGGCCACAAGCGGGCAGAGTCGCTCGGACGCGCATACGTACACACACATCCATCCATAGAGACACGAAGACACGAAGACACATAAACACACACACACACACACACACACACACTCTCACACTCTCTCTCTCTGTCTCTCTCTCTCTCTCTCCCTCTCTCTCTCTCTCTCACCGGATCCGCCACGGCGAGCTTTAATCCGCGTCCAGATTCAGAAGCAGCTCTCAGTCCGCAGGCAGCCGTCAGCACCACGTCACTGAAATCCAGAGCCGGGAGGGGGAGCAGCCCGAGAGGAAGGAGCCCGGGGGGTCACGTGGGCAGCGCGCAGGCGCGCCCGGCCCCGCCCCGACGCCCGCTCTTCCTTCTCCCCCCTCCCTCCCCGCCCCCTCTGCCGCAATTCGCGCCGCCCCAGAATCTCGGCGGGTCGAGCAGAAAAGCTTTAGGTGGAGAACCCCCCCGGCCCCCCCCGGACTCCTCGGGTGGCACCTGCGCACACAGGTCCGGCCTAGAACTGCTGAAGCTGACACGAAGGAAAACTGGTGCGTCATGTTGTTAATGGCTGTGCATAGCAGAGAAAAGGTGTCCTGTTATGTTGTAACCTCGCCTTCCTCCCCTCCTCATCCGCAGCAGCACCCCCCAGATGAGACAGCTCAGCTTTGGAGCAAGCTTCCCACCCCCACCCCCACCCCCAGCCCCAGCCCTTGGAGGAAAGCAGGGTCCTGGGGAGCAAACGAAACGTCCCCCCGGCCCCCATGTGCCTGGGAGTGCCCGAAAGAGGTGCAGCCCCCCGGGGAGTCCGGCCCCAGCCTGGGAGCAGTGCCCGGGATCTCTGCACTGTGCGGGTGGGAGCAATGGGGAGACAATGGGTGGGGCCCGAGAGCGTCCCTAAGGAGCAAAAGAGCAGAGTTCCCAGTGAAGTTCTGCGTGAGATGAGTGGCAAATGACCAGCTGTCTTCTGCTTCCTTCCCTCAGGTTATCAAAAGCTAAGGAGACTATGGTGGAAAACTCACCGTCACCTTTGCCAGAAAGAGCCATCTATGGCTTCGTTCTTTTTTTAAGCTCCCAGTGCGGTTTCAGTGAGTATGGTTACTGATTGAATAAGGAGATGGAGCATTAGTTATGTCAACTCTGATTGGAAAGCTTTTCTTTATAATACTGTGAGGTTGTGACGCCTGTAAGTTAAGACATCAAAATATGATACAACTTGCTTTACCTTATTTTTCATATTATGTTTTGTGGTGCATGGAAAGGACATTGAATATGAAGTTCGAGGACCGGGATTGAAGTCCTGCCTTGGTTATTGTCTGTATGAGCTTAAGTCACTTAGCCTCTCTGGGCCTCAGTTTACATCTGTAAAATGAGGGCATTAGACTAGAAAGATGGTCCCCAAAATCCCTTCTGAACACTGATCTTCGACCCAAGTAGGGTGGATCCTTCCTCAATTTTACCTGGCTCACAATTTTTTCTCCCCAACTCCTGCCTTCATACTGGGGGACTTCAACAGATGTACTGGCTGTCCCTCAAGTATATAATAACTCAATTCCTCAAGCTATTTACTTCCATCACCTCACCTCAGCCACACACAAAGATGGTCATACCCTTGATCTTGCCATCACCCACAAATGTATCTTTAAAAATTCTTTAAATTCTTATGTGACCATAATCCATTGACTTTTCATCTGTCCCTCTGCTTTTCCTTACAAAATCTTCCAAACTGTCTCCAGTCCCTTGATGCCTCATTTGTCCCCCAAACCATCTCCCCTACGCTAGCCACTCTCTCCTCTTCTCCTTATCTTGACTCCTTGGTGAACCAATTCAACACTGCAGTCCTCTTGTCTTGATTCCCTACTCCCTCTATCATATCACTGATTACTCCCAGCCAAGCCTCAGCTTTGCATCACTCTCATCATTCCCTGCCTTTGCTGCTACACAGGTTCTGCTCAACAAAGATGGAGAAAATTGGGCAACCATTCTGATTAGGTCCCCTAGAAGTTTGTTACACAACCTCAGTTGGGTCTTACTGCTGCTAGCCAGTCCTTCTATGCCTACATTATGAATTCAGTGTCCCACTTTCCAGAGCAGTTCTTCTAAACCTTTTTCATGTCTTCTCAAGCTTCCCATGGCTCCCCTCCCTCCAGCTTCTCAAATGAGAATCTTGAATTATTTTCAGATAAAATGAAGCCATTTGCTATGAGCTCCCTATTTTCCCCTCTTCTTTTCATATCACTCATATGCATTCTGGCATTATCTTTTCCTTCACTCCTGTCTCATATGATCAAATGACCTTACTCTTTACCAAAGCTAACTGCTCTGTTTGCTCAAGTGATCTCTTACTTCTTGTCTCTGCCAACAGATTTCTCCTTCTGTCATCTTCACTGTATCACTTATTTTCAATTTCTCCTTATCTACTGATTCATTCTGTACTACCTATAAGCACACGTAATTCTCCCCCATCCTGAAAAACCCTTACTTGATTCTTTAATCCTCTTAAGCCCTTTGTAGCCTGCTGGTGAGTCAGCCTGCCTTATCTCTCCCCAGACCATCCTCCAATCAGCCATCAAAGTGTTTTCCTAAAGCGCAGGTCCAACATGTTACTCCCTCCACACTCCATAAACTCTGTATCACCTCAAAGATCAAATATAAAATCCTGTTTGCTTTCAAAGCCCTTTAAAACCTGCCCCCTTCCCTTCTTCCAGTTCTCCTACACCTTTCTCCCAGTCACATACTCTTCCATCTGGTAACAGTGGTCTTTTGGTTGTTCCTCAAACAAGACACTCCATTTCTTTGTTCCAGGCATTTTCTCTGCTTGTCTCTCATACCTGGAATGCTTTCCCTCCTCATCTTCTCCTGCTGGCTTCCTTTAAGTCCCAACTAAAATAAAACTTCTCTTAATTCTAGTGCCTTCCTTCTCTTAGTTATTTCCTATTTATCCTGTATATAGCTTGTTTATACATATTTGCTGGTTTGTTGTCTCCCTTTCAATTGTGAACTCCTTGAGGTAAGAGACTGTCTTTTGCCTCTCTTTGTATCCCCAGTTTTTAGCATAGTGCCTAATACATACTAGGTGCTTAATAAATGTTTGTTGATTGATTGCACCAAAGGTTGTCCACATCCCTAATGGAAAACCAAGCTGGCAGCAAGGTGTAGAAGTTGCCTTGTGCTGGCACAGATAGCCGCCTTCCCTCAGGGGACATGGAAAGCAGAAGATGGCATGGGGCCAGAGGAAGTTCTGGATCCTCTTCTTACCTGAGGCTGTAGAACAGACTGTAGTGGCAGGAAGTTGGAGTCTCTTGGTGAAGGGAGATGTCACTTTGGGGCAGATGGAAGTCACAGTGTCTAACCTCTTGCTGCCTCCCCTCAGGAGAAATGCCCAGCTGGAGATGGAAGGCCTTCCCACTATACTATGATGACTTCCTTAGGAGAGCCCTCTTCTGTGGCTGAAAAGCTAGATTCTAGTATCACATTAGTGTAAGGGTGAGGAAAACATTAGGAAAAGCTGACAGAGTCATTATTATTGTTTTAGGGGACTACGGTGACCTCTTACCCTGTCCCCATTTACTTTTTTCTAAAGATAATCCTGTAACTCTTAACTTCTCTACCACCAAAGTTACATTCTTTTCTATGGTGCACGTGGCCTGTATTTGGTGATGTCTTCCATTCTTATAGAAAGAATATCTGTCTGTCTTCTGATGGTGATGTTCATTTATCAGTCCAGCTTACATTCCTTTCTCTTGTCTCGTTACTTTTCCAGGCAGGACAGATTTGTTCCTGCTTCTGTCTTTACCTGTAGTTCCTGAATGTTCTTTCAACTGAATTAGCACCTGTAGGGTCTTCACTCATTTAGTCCCACGGTACCATGAATAAGTAAATGTCCTCAAGGTGATTGGAGTTGAGTTTTTGTCATATGATACTTTTCTTGGCCATCAGCTACGTACTCAAATGCTTTCACAAAATCTTTACCTAATAAGTTCATCACAGGGCACTATTAGTGTCAGTATTTTGACAGGCTTGATAAATCCTTTTAGGTCAGGCTTAGCCCTTGACATTGACCTTTGGCTACTTGGATCTTTCTGATCAAGTCTCTGTCCTCAGGGGATACCACTCTTCTCACTATTAGTCTTGGTTATTCACCTGGATAAGAATTGGAATGACAATTCTTCCCCTCTTTGCTGTTGCCAGCAAATTCAATCAGTGCTTCTGCTAGTTTGTCCAGGACTATAAAATAATTAAAATTTATGTATACGTTCTCACATGAGTTCAGGGTTTATACAGTCGTTATCTCTCACAACCACTCCCTGCTCTCTACTAATGTGGCCACCACTCCAGTTCAAGCCCTTGGGTATTGCAATAGCATCTTTCCCCTCTACGCAGCTGCCAAATTGAGTTTACAAAAGTAGTTTGACCGTCCCTCTCTTCTACTCAGTAAACTTTAATGGCACCTCTACTGCCTCTAAGAAATAAATTGCATCTGTTTAATTTTTAAAGTCCTTCTTGGGGCAGCTAGGTGGCACAATGGATAGAGCACCGGCCCTGAAGTCAGGAGAACCTGAGTTCAAATTCAGCCTCAGACTAAACACTTGACACTTACTAGCCGAGTGACCCTAGACAAGTCACTTAACCCCAATTGCCAAAAAAAAAAATAAAATAAAAATTTTAAAGTCCATCCCAACCTGACCCTAACTTTACTTTTTCATGCTTATTATACATTCCTTCCCTTTTGTTTTGTACCGTTTAGCCAAACTGTTCTTCTTTCTGCTTCCCCCCCCATACTCTATCTCCTTCTTTACACCTTTGCACCCACTGTCCTCTAGGCCCTGAATGCTCTTCCACTTTAGCCTCTTAGGATCTTTTGTTTCCTTCAAAACTCTGCCCAAGAGACACTTTCTAAATGAACCCTTTCCTGCTAGTTTCTTCCTCCACAAAATATTTACCTACAGTTATCATTTATATATTTTATGTACATATTGTCTCCCCCAGAAGAATGTAAGCTCCTTAACAGCAGGGACTGTGTCTTTTTTGTCTTTTTTCTCTTTTGTCAGAGCACTGCCTGGCTCATAGTAGAAGCTTAATTAATGTTTTTGATTGACTATATAGCCATGTGTGACTTAACCTCTCAGTATCCTAGGCAACTCTATAAGATTATCAATTACAGATAAATTGTTGGCCTGCATCAGTGGAAGGAGTTCCCACAGGGGGAGTTTGCTTTGCATCACAGGTCCTAACCAATAAAATATATAGAAGTTGGTCACAGGCAGGTGAATAGTGAAATATATAAGGAGCATATGCCTATGGAGAAGCTCAGTTTCCACAGACAGGAACAATAACACATATTTCAAAGTTGTGTAAATGCTAATCAAAGGATCTTAAAGAGAAATCGATGCTTTACCATTGGTATTGCACCAGTTGGCAGTTTCACTGTAAAATAAAACTTTAAACCCTATCTAAAGTTGTCAATTGATTCTGCAAAAAATAAATTTGGAAAAAACATTACAGTGGGCAGTTAGAAATATTATTATATATAAGTGATTAGTAAAATTGTAATTGTTGCCTGTGTTAGGGCAACCTTCTCAAATATTTAATGTGTTTTTCATCCAGTTCAGCTGATGGTAATAATATCTATACATATTTTTAAACTATACATTTGTAGTAGAAAAAACATATTCTGGATAAACTTTGTACCGTAACTGAGAATAGAAAAGGATCTAGAAGACAATGCCAGTACCTTAGCAGTTTAAAGAAATTTTAAAAATCTTAACTAATTTCCAGAATTATTACTGCCATAAACATTTTATTTGGTTCATTCAGCGAGTTCTGAAAAAATATAGTAAGTAATTGTGTTGTCTATTTTTATTAAATAGAATAAATTTCCTTATTTTCCTGTTTAGACCAAATCTAAGTTATTTCAGGTGCTAGACTTATGTTCATTTATCTCATTGTACTAAATTCAGATCTTTCCAGTGCTGTTTTACAAATTTTGCTGGTCTTTTGTCCCCTCTCATCACTATAAGGCTGAACACTAGGTGATGGGTTCATCGACAAGAAGTAGATACTTATTTAGAAGATAGATACTAAGGCAAAAAAGGGTTTTAATTTAAACTGGTGAATGGAATTTTGTTGTTGTTTAGTAGTTCAGTTGTGTCCAACTCTTCATGACCCCATTTGGGATTTTCTTGGCAAAGATACTGGAGTGGTTTGCCACTTCTTCTCCAACTCATTTTACAGATGACAAAACTGAAGCAAACAGGATTAAGTGACTCACCCAGGGTTACACATCTAGTAAATGTCTAAGGCTGGATTTGAACTCATGAAAATGAGTCTTCCACCTCCTGACAGGCACTCTATCCACTGTGCCATCTAGCTGTCCCTGGGTGACTGGAATACTCATAACTTATATTTTTCAAAGTTTTGAACTATTTTTTTTTTCCTATGGCTGGTATTGAATTAGCCTCAGAAGCTTTCTGGAACCTCAAGTCACTTTCTGCAATTCTTTATCATCATTCATTCATGCAGAATCACTTATTGGGTGTTCACAGTGCACTAGGCTAATGAACCCCATCATAAACCCTTAATTTAGGTCAAATTGCTCAATGAAAAAAGTCCTTCATGGGCATGATGTCAAAATTTAGATTCCTCCCTTTACTGCAACAGATGTCTACCTTTTACAAGTGAGAGAGATAACAAAAATGTTTGTTTCCATAAAATTGAAACAAGGCTAGTAAAGTAGCTAAGCAAAAAGGGAATATAGCCGGTCTTAATCTTGTTTTGCTTTTTGAAGTCAGTAAGTAGGACAAAGGTTAAGCTTTAATTAGAGTGCGCATTCTTAATAGGCTCATAAATACTAACTTCTCCACCTCCAGGAGGGGCATTTTCTGAACATGGAATGTATGAAGAAGGATGAAGAACATATCAAGAGGTAGATGTGTAATAGACATATAGGAAAGTAGTACTCAGCCAATGAGGAAACAGAGAAGGGACTTTTCGGCTGGAATTAGAGATAAATAGTGAACTTCTGCTTTGGTACAATGTGTAGGACACCTGCCGTTGGAACTGCATGATAAACTGGGCTTTAAACTTCATCCCTTCTGAGTCTGAATGAGTTATTTCTCACAAGTCACTGTGGGTTTTACCAAGATGAGTAACATAGAGTTACTAGAGCTAATAGACTAGTGGAGGAAATACATAGGTATAAATAACTATAATTCAAGACTTTTTGATGAAAGTACCAAGAAGACAAGGGTCCACCCAATAGAAAATCTTCCTTCTTTCCTGTAAAGGAAGTTCAGAACATGGAAAGATTATTTTTAGCTGTCATGATAAAAGAAGGCTTCCTGGTTAAGGTCTTGAGCAAGACTTTAATGAATAGAGAGAATATGTGCTTTATTTATATTTTAAATATTTTTTTTCTTTTGTACAGTACTCTATCTTGTATGGGCATTTATTCCTGAGACTTGGTTAAACTCCATCGGACTAACATATTGGCCTCAAAAGTAAGTTGAAAAATATACCCTTAGTAAAATTAAAGTTCATTTTACTGTCATTGTAGGAGGTTATGTATTTTCTTTAAAAATCCAAACACTGGCTGTTTTGTTTTAATGCCTCTCTAGTAAGAGTAAATACTAATAAAGCATGAAAATTTTACCCAGATGACCTCAGAGCCAGGAGTCACGAGATGTGGCTTTTGGGACTTTGAAAATTGTAACTTTTAAAAATATGTATTATTTGCTTTAATACTCTTTTCTACAGGTACTGGGCAGTTGCTTTACCAGTCTACCTCCTTATTACTTTAGTAATTACTTACATATTGATATTTGGAATTAACATGGTGAATACTTCTCCACTGGACTCTATTCATACAGTTACAGGTAAATTTACATAGTGATTGGATCAGATCATCTTTTTAAAGTTTAGCAAAAAACTGAAAAATATTAATATAACAAGGCACTTCAACTGTACAATATATAAGAGCCCTGGATTTGGAGTCAAGAAGACCTGAGCTCAAATCCCTCCTCAAATGCTTACTAGCTATGTGACTCTAAACAAGTCTTTTAACCTCTTTCAGCCTTGGTTTCTTCATCTGTAAAATGGAAATAATAATAGCAACTACCAAACAAGGTTGTTGTGAGGATCAAATGAGATAACATATATGCAGTACTTTGCAAATCTTAAATCAGTATGTAAATGGTGGCAATTTTTATTATAGCTTGACTTCAATATAAGCTACTATATTATTGAAGATGATTGATTTCATATATTGACATTAGTATAGTCATATTTTTATAATTTTGCTCTCATAATGATAATTATCCACATCTTATATGTTAATAGCTTTGTATAGTTTACGATGTGATTTCTCATCATTATTTCACATAATTTTGAGTAATAACTCTGTGGAACAAATCGGGCACAATTTATTATCCCTCTGTTCTAGATGAAGAAACTGAGGCTAAGAGATATTAAATTATTAGCACAGAATTTCAGATTTGCCTACCTTAGTGGGCATTTAGTCTAACCCAGGGGTGGGGAACCTGCAGCCTTGAGGCCACATGTAGCCTTCTAGATCCTTGGGTGAGGCCTTTTGACAGAGTCCAAATTTTACAGAAAAAAATCCTTTGATTAAGGAGATTTGTTCTGTGAAGTTTGGATTCAGTCAGAGGGCCACACTTGAGAACCTAGAGGGCCCATGTGAGCTTGATGCTGAAGGTTCCCCACCCAGGGTATAACGAATACCTCAACAAGAATCCCCTCTACAAAATACCCAAGTGGTCATTCAGCCAAGAATTTCAGTAGAGATCTCATTGCTTCTAGAGGGAGCCCTTTTCTGCTTTAATTATTTGTGAGTTTTTCTTAAGATCAAACCTAAATTCGGCCTTTTGCAACTTAGATTTATTGTTCCTATCCCTGCCTTCTGGCAACTAATCTCTTTTCAGAATAGTCCTTCAATTACTATAGTGGTGAATTTCAAACCCAGGCATATTGACTCCAGTTTCAGTGGTCTTTCTACCTGTACCACACTAAATCTAAAAAACACTTTCATCCACATTTAGGAATTTGGTTAGGAAAAAATAGATTTGCTGCTTTTGTTTGGAGAGTATTGATTGATTGTCATTCTTTCTCATGAGAATATATTTTGATTGTTGCTTAATCATTTCAATTTCTTATTAATCAGTCACGTCTGACTCTTCATGACCCTGTTTGGGGTTTTCTCAGCAAAGGTACTGGAGTGGTTTGCCTTTTCCAGCTCATTTTACAGATGAGGAAACTGAGGCAAACAGGGTTAAGTGACTTGCCCAGGGTCACACAACTAGTAAAAGTGTCTATGAGGCCAGATTTGAACTTATGAAAATGAGTCTTCCTGACTACAGACCAGGCACTCTATCTATTGTGCCACCTAGCTACTCCTATGAGAATATGTATCTTTTTTAAATAAGGGGTTTTTTTAAGATGAATTTTAGTTGTAAAATGTCTTCAATGACAATCTCCCAGAGCATGTTTCCTATGCTCCCATAATTTTAATGGCTATCAGACAAAATTGGTTTTAAAGATTTTCTTAAATAATAGTAACAAAATCATAATTTGGGGGCCATTAAGTTCAGTAAGTATAGCACTTAGATGCAGTTCTGCTCTTGTGAGAAGTGTGCTTTTCATGAGGGAAAAGCTGACAAAAAAAATCATTCCTGTACTTCCAGAAAAATATTAATTTCTCATGCAAACTAGACATGGGAGAATTAATGTTATTTTTACTGTCTTTTAAATTTTTGTTTTTATGTTTTTTATTTGTTTAAGGAGAATTTTTATTACTAAATATGTTAAATACAATATTTGTTATTGTCATCTTAATGATTTGCAATGAGATAAATTGTTTTCTTTTTGCCTTTGTTGTTGGTCATGATTAATGTCAGAGACTATGACCTAGATCACTGATTCTCAACCTCTTCAAAGTACAAGAACTCCTTTTAATTTTCAAAAACATTTTCAGATCACTTTATGATGAGAATTATAATACTAACATGTATTAGTTGGAAAAATACATAATGACAAAAAGACTACTATGATTTGGTAACACTTCTAAATTAATTTATATTTTATTATAATAGCTTCTGCATACATTTGAAAAATAGAAGTGGATATATCTGCATGATATTTATCTAGTCTACATAAGTTACATTTACTTATTTATTTGTTCCCATGAGTAACATTGCATATCTTATTGGTGCAAAATGAAGACCAAAATGACAATGCTTGGTACCCACATTCATTGTTGAACTTCTTCCAATAACTGTGCAGTCGTCTGTCTAGCTCACAGATACTGATTGATTGAACAAGATCATTAGATTTAAACAATGTTTCCTTTTTTTTTCCCCCAGATAACTATGCCAAAAATCAGCCACAGAAGAAATTTCAAGAAAAAGCTGTTCCAGCCCTAAAGGACATACCTATTAGTGAAGTAAACCAAATGTTCTTTATTGCTGCCAGAGGACTTTATACTAAAAGTTGAATTATACAGAGAACATCTCGATCCCAAACATTGATTTAAGAATCTTTTTGAATAGGATTATTTTGACTATGACCTTCCATTTCCCTCAGATACCTTGTATTAATTGAGAAGGGAAACAGATACAAGTTGAATGAATAGAGACCTGGCCTTGGAGCCAGGAAAACCTTGATTCAAGTCTCACTTCTGAGATACCAGTTGAATGACCCTGGCCAAATCACTTAACTTCTCAATGCTCTGTTTAACTCTCTAAAACTCTGTGCCACAGAGAAGGTGCAAAGAGTTTCATCTTCTGGGGGTACCCTGTGGCAATTTAATAATGAGTCCAGTCCCTAAACCTAACTATTAGATTTTTCTGGGAAGGTATTCCAAATGTTTTGAAGAATGGATGAAATAAAATACTCTATGTTAAACGTACCAGCAAAGAAGCTCTAATTAACCTAATTAATGTTTAATTAAAGCTGTAGTTAATGAACAAGAGTTAGCTCCTTTCTCATTTACTATTAGTGGGCTAAGTATTCATACTACTTGCCACAGAAAAGATTACATCTGATTAAATTCAGAAAATAATTACAAAGTACCTAGTGTAGGCAAGACACCGTGCTAGATTCTGAGAATATGAAGACAAAAAAAGCTGCCCTCAAGGAGCTTATATCCTATTGAGAGGATATACATATACATATATACATATAAATGTAATTAATACCTGAAAAGGAAGAGGGTGTTAACAAATTAGGGGGAAGGATTAGAAATGTTTCCCATAGGAGGTGACCTACCTGTAAGAAGCTAAGAATTTTAAGGTGAGGGAGTACATCTCTGGCATGGGGACAACTTGTACAAAGGTAAGGTGGGTGATAAGAGCTAGAATTCTTATAAACAAGTAGTAAGACTGTGATTGAATAAAAACACACACACACACACACACACAAGAAGGGGAATAATATGAAATAAGTATGTAGAATATAGAGGGCTTTAAGTGCCTGGCTATGGAGTTTGTATTCCTCTCAGTCATAGGGAGCCACCAAAGGTCCTTGAGCAGGGAAATAACAGACCTGTGCCTTAGGAAGATAAATGTGGCTTATAAGTGGAGGCTTTATTGGAGGTGGAAGAGACTGGCAGCCAAGAGTACGTTTAGGAAGCTCTTAAATTGGCACAAATGAGAGATGATGAGAGTCTGAACTAAGTTAATGGTGAGCTGAGGGAAAGAGAAAGATGTAAGAGATGTGTAGAAGTAAAATCTAGGACTAGGAAACTAGACTAAGAACCTGATTGGATGTAGCAACCCAAGATGATTCTGAAATTGAGAACTTAGGTGAGTGAATTATTGGTGACAATCAAAAAAAACACCAAAAAACAGGAAAGTTAGGCAGAAGGGTGGGGTTAGGGATAAAAACTCCATTTGATACTTGTCTTTGTTCTCAACTTGAAGCAAACTGTAATCTTTTCTCTCCAAATAATTTCCTTCTGTTTGGAAATGCCTGTGTATTCCATATTCTTCTTTCCAAAATAGAATGTCAAGTCACCCTTCCTTAATAGTCAATTAAGAAGTTGGAACCTATCTAGCTGTTCCTCACTTTCCCATCTCCCCATTATATAAAAATCTTACCTTGCTTTGGGAGATAAAGGTCAGGGTACAAAAAAAGGGTATAAATTCTGTATGCTTATGTATGTATGACTGCCTAGATGTATATATTTGTGGTTTAAAACAAAATAATTTTTGTAAAATAGATTGGAATACTTGAAATTGCTGAAGAAGTAAGAAATTTGGTTCAGCGTGTAGCAAATAGTGAAAGCGTTAAACCTTTGATGGAAAAAAAAAATCTTTGAAGAACCTAGATATGACGGGCAGCTAGGTAGTGCAGTGGATAAAGCATCATCCGTGGAGTCAGGAGGACCCGAGTTCAAATCCAGCCTTAGACACTTGATACTTGACTAGCTGTGTGACCCTGGGCAAGTCACTTAACCCTGATTGCTTCCCCCCTCCACCCCCCCCAAAAGAACCTAGATACAGAACTAGTAATCTTGTACTTTCCTTGAGTACAATGTATGTTCTACAGATAAACTAGTTTGCTCCTTTTGTTTTGTACTAATCTCAAACAATAGGATAGTTCTATTTTACTTAAATCCAATTGAGTTCTTCCAGGACATGATTCAGTAACCAGTAGAGAGTTCAGGTGCATATCATATTTATACTTCTTTGAGGACTTCTGAGTGTCCTTGAGGAAAAAGAGCAGAATCTTTAGGAACCTAGCCACATAACTAGTAATCTGTTACATTTCTTGAGTATAATACATTTTCTACAGACCAGCTAGTTTCCTCATCATTTGGTTAGTACTGCTCTCAAACAATCAAAAGGATGTCTCTGTTTCACACTAAGACAATGAACTCTTTAAACTAAGATGAAAGATATTTAAATCCAATATAGTTCTACAATAACTGATCCAGTAGTCGGTGGAAAGATCCAGTTCATATTTGATAGTAGACAACTGGAGGAACCCTGAAAATCCTTCAAGAAATATAAAATAGAATTTTTATGATACTAACTGTATAACTGGTAATCTAGTACAGTATTTGAGAATAATGAATGTTCTACAAACTAGTTTTCCTCCTTTTGGTTCTTTCAGTTAATAGGACAGTCCTAATTCATACTGAAGTAATGAAATCTCTTAGAAAGCAAGATAAAGTCCTTCCATGATATTGGTCCAGTGGAGTTGATCCAGTAGACAATGGAGAGTTCAGGTAACATGTTCAGGTGCCCTTGTTATCTGTAGGAGGAATCCTGAAAAGCCTTAAGGAAAAACATAATATAATCCCTAGGAACCATCTTTTTTGATTAAAATATATAGTGGATGGGCTACCTGCCTTACTTCCACTTGTTTTGGGTTACTCTTAATATTGGCCCCATTTAATTTGTTTTGTTCCCCATTGGTAGGATAACATTCCATCCAAAGTAAGGATATACTTTAGAGAGCAAGATAAGTCTGATACTGTTTTTCCATCACATTGAACCATTAGCCGGTGGACTGTTCCAGTTCCTTTTAAATTGTTAACCTAGTGGAAGAATACGAAAGTTCCTTGAGGAAAAAACGACAGACTCTTTAGGAACCAAATATGGAAGTAATTGCCCATTCATTTCTTTGAGTACAGTATGTGGTCTACAAACCTTTTATATACAAACCTTCAATAGAATAGCTCCATTTCCAATCTAATACAAATCATTCAACTAAGAAATTTTAAAAATTCAATAGAGTTCTAGGACATTGATGAAATAGCAAATGGAAAATTTAGATTCATATTAGGTTTATGCCTATTAGAAGAATATTGAAAACTTATGAAAGAAAAAATAAAATCATTATCTACCATATTCCACTGATGTAATACAATAGGTCAGTAATCATTAAGTGCCTATTATGTGCCAGGCAATGTGCTTAACACTTGCAATACAAGAAAAGGCAAAAGACAGTTCCTTGCCTTCAAGGAGCTCACAATCTGTTGTGGGGAAACTATGCAAATAACTGTGTAGTAACAAGCTATATACAGGACAAATAGGAAATAATCGACAGAAGGAAGGCACTTCTTTATAGAAGGTGGCATTTTAGCAGGGACTTGAAGGAAGCCAAGAAAACCAGGAGGTGGAGATGAGAAGGAAGAACATTCCAGGCATGGGGAACAATAAGTGAAAATGCCTGGTTTGAAAAGTAGAGTGTCTTCTTCGAGGGACTCCAAGGAAGCCAAGGTCATTAGATTGAAGAGTGGAGGTGAAAAGGGGTATGTGAAAAGTGTAAGAAAACAAAAGGTGGGGATAGGATAGGTTATTAAAGTTTTTGAATGCCAAGCAGGAATTTGTTTGATCCTGGAGGTGATAAGGAGCCACTGGAGTTTGCTGAGCAGGGAAGGGGTAAGAGAGTGCAATGTGATAACGGTCAGACCTGCACTTTAAGAAAATAACTCTGCAACTGAATGGAGGATGGACCATAGTGGGGACAGACATGTGGCAGGCAGAACAGTCAGCAGGTTATTGCAGTAGTCCAGGTGTGAGAAGATGAAGGCCTACACCAGGGTGGTAGCAGTAGCAGAGAAGAGGAGGAAACATTTAATATGAAAGATATTACAAAGGTAAAATTGACAGGCTTTGACAACAGATTGAATATGGAGCTGAGAGAGAGTGAGACATTGAAGAGGATACCTATGTTGTGAGTCTGGGGGACTTGGAGCCCTTGACAGGAAAAGGAGAGTTTGGAAGGGAGAGGGTTTGGGAAGAAAGATAACTCCAGTTTTAGACATGTTGAGTTTAAGATGTGTCTTGGACGTTTGGTTTGAGATTTCTGATAGGCTGTTGGAGATGGGAGACTAGAGGTCAGCAGAAAGGTTAGCGCTGGATAAATAGATCTGGAATCATCAGAAAAGAGATGATGATTGAATCCACAGGAGCTGAAGAGATCACCAAGTCAAATAGTTTAGAAGGAGAAGAGAAGAAGCCCAGGCATGACCTGGGTGAAAATCCAGCAAAGGAGACTGAGAAGGAATAGATACATAGGAGGAGAACCAGGAGAGAGTAGTGTTCTGAAAACCAAGAGAAAAGAGAGTATCAAGGAGAAAAGAATGATCAGCAGTGTCACAATCTGAAGAGAAGTCAAGAAGGTTGAGGATTGAGTAAAGGCCATTAGATTTGACAATCAGATAATTAGTTAATTCATACAAAGCATTTCAATTGAATGAGATTAGAAGCCAGACTGTAGAGTTTAGAAGAAACAGAGAGGAGAGGATAGAGGCACCTTCTGAAGACCTTTTCAAGGAGTTGATCAACAATAGGAAGGAGAGAAATGAGGCAACTGTTAGATTGGATGGATGGATCAAGTGAGGGTTTTTTGAGGATGTGAGAGAAATGGGCATGTTTGTAGGGAGTAGAGAAGCAGCCAGGGAATAGGAAAGAGATTGAAGGTGAGTTAGTGGAGATTTTAGAGAGGGGAATCTGATGGAAAAAACTATTATCCATCACCATAAACGTACCATCTCCATGTTCATGAACCTGTGCCTGTATTAAGGATAGACCTTGACAAGAAGTACCACCTCAGCATGTGAGACAGGAGTGAAGGATGAGATAATGGCAGAAGGCATCAGGGTGATGGGAGACGAAGTGGAGGAAGATAAAGCTCTTGGCAAATGGTCTCAGATTTTTTCTGTAAGTAGGCAAGATTCTCAGCTGAGAGTGGCAGAAGGGGAGCCATGAGGTGTGAGATGATGAAAAAGTTTGTAAGAATCATTGTAGTGAGTGGGATAATGAGTTAATGAGGGAGGGGTAAAAGGTTTGCTAAGCAGCACTGAGGACCCAGTTAATGTTATTTACTTAACATAAATTTGTAGTGGATCTGATCAGCATAGTTGCATTATTTTCTCCACCTTCATTCAGCAGCACATGTGTAGGAGCAATGGCAGCAAATGGTAGAAGTGATCCAAGGCTTTATAAAGCTTGGC